GTCAGCTTCGGGTCATTTGATAAATTTCATGGAAAATCAGAGAACTCAATAGTCTCTAAACCGTTGGATTCTTCGTGAGCAGAGCTATCCAGTGGTATAACTTTCGAATGACCTAATCCATTTGTTCACGAGTTATGGCGAGGCGACGGTTGCGACGGACTGACTGCGTCGCATTTCGTCGATTGAACAAAAATTAGTAGCGGTATTGTAGATTGATGCACTGTTTTATTTCGAAGCTAAAACAGAGTTCATTTCAAGTAACTGTTTTTATAAATGCTACTAAAAGGTATGACTTCCAACGACTTCCACAGCATTACAGAAGCCTTTAATACATATGTCAGTAAAGGTTCCCCGCGAGCACTTTTGAGAAATCTTTCAGAAAATTACTCGTAAGCAAGACAGAAAACATTGGAGTCAATCCGCCTCTTTTTGATGCATTACACAGCCTACTGTAACTGATGCTCGAATTGTAGCAAAAATCGAGTGCAGTCTGATCTATCGACAGAGAGGTACAGACTGACGTAGGGTTCCAGATGATTGATAATCGAGTTTCTAATAGGTTACTCGTTCCTCTAACGTGAGCTAATTGGTGCAGAATTCGCTCCCTAGTAACAAAATAGGGAGCTACGAGATTCGAACCGAGATATTGGTCCTAGATCAGAGCCCATTCCCGCACCTCTACTCGATAGATGTGATGCGGATACATGACTGAGTATAATCTTAAGGCTTCCAACAAAGCGTACCAGTCTGATCATATTAGCGGCTGGTGGTAAGTGTCTGCCAGTGTTTTTTGCGACAAGTCCTTGCGCAAGCCTTGACCTGAAATATGCTAGACCATTGAGCGTGGTACTCCAAAAACCTGTGCAGAATATTATGTAGATTTGGACAAACCTTCGATAATTGTGCATCGTTAAGGCAATGACTCTTATCCTGTCATTCATGCCAGGGTTGGTTGGACAGATCTGGTTAATTCCTAGATGAAGTTTCCGTACAAGTGTTCTGCAGCAGATCGAAATGTCAAAAGAAAAAGGCGGGCCGTGAACAAAGTGGTGTTCTGGTTTGGTATGTCACGCACAGGTGCTACGTAGGAAAACATAATAATCAATCAATCAATCAATCTCAATTTCTATGTAAGAGAATTGATAGCGTGTATCTAGCTTAGGTAGACAATATTTTTCTGATACGAATGAGCGTTTATTTTGTACAGGAACCCTCTTTCTCAAATTCCTCGCCCTACTTTTTAGAAACACCATTATGACTCCCAGGGCTGTGCCTTCGCGCCAAGCGCTGAGCAAAGATCAAACTCAGGGAAATAATAGAAGAGACAACGCTACATCTCACATGGAAATGCAGCTTTATCATCTGGAGTACTCACTAGGATTGGAAGGGAGAGCATTCGTCGTTGTTGTTGTTGTTGGCCGCGTTGAGGTCGATGTTGAAGTCGATTCTGTCGTCGTTGACTCTGTAGAAGGTGTTTCTGTCGTGGACGTCGTGGACGTCGATTCTGTAGTCGTCGACTCTGTGGAGGTCGACTCTGTAGTCGTTGACTCTGTTGAAGTTGATTCTGTTGTAGTTGACTCTGTTGAGGGTGTTTCTGTCGTGGACTCCGTGGACGTCGATTCTGTAGTCGTCGACTCTGTGGAGGTCGACTCTGTAGTCGTTGACTCTGTTGAAGTTGATTCTGTTGTAGTTGACTCTGTTGAGGGTGTTTCTGTCGTGGACTCCGTGGACGTCGATTCTGTAGTCGTCGACTCTGTGGAGGTCGACTCTGTAGTCGTTGACTCTGTTGAAGTTGATTCTGTTGTAGTTGACTCTGTTGAGGGTGTTTCTGTCGTGGACTCCGTGGACGTCGATTCTGTAGTCGTCGACTCTGTGGAGGTCGACTCTGTAGTCGTTGACTCTGTTGAAGTTGATTCTGTTGTAGTTGACTCTGTCGAAGGCGTTTCTGTTGTCGTTGACTCCGTGGACGTGGATACTGTAGTCCTTGACTGTGTTGAAGTCGATTCCATCGTGGTTGACTCTGTCGAAGGTGATTCTGTTGTTGACTCTGTGGACGTGGATTCGGTCGTTGTTGACTCTGTGGAAGGTGCTTCTGTCGGCAGTGGTATCACTGGCATCGGGCCATTACTTAGCCACGGCATTACCTTGCCAATCTTGCGCACTGTGAATTGATATTGTTTTCCTATATCGCCAGGTCCTAAGTCCTTGAGCTTACATCCTTCTTGACCTCTAAGGTACGAGTCAACACAAGGTAGCTGTTGTACTGACGGCAATGGTGTACCTGGTGCTCCTTGAGACAACACTGATGCCGCTAGTATCTGTTATACATTCGTGACATATAAGAAGAGAGTTATCACCAATATTTTGAACTTACGACGAGTGCAGGCACGGTGCTCCACCTAAACATTTTGGACTTGTAACACGGCTACATTAGTGCGTCTCTTATATCTACTTTTGTAAAGGGCATAGTCATGATGGGTGGCCGTGTGAATCATCAACATTTCTCGTTTTCTGTCAATTCATGTAACACCATTGTGCTCGATTTCAACAACAATACAGAATCCGTACATATCCCACGCCATCCCATCCACCTGCTCAACTGCTATTGCCAGAACGAAAGGATCAGTAAAATGAAGTATCAGGCCGGTGCGAAAGTCTTGAGACACAACATGGATTGTCGTGTCTCTACAGGAACCTTTGCTATCGTGATGACTTCATCGTCATCTTGAACAAGCTCGGAGTTACCGCTAGCAGTATTTAAACAGGTCCTCCAGCCTTCTGTTATAAACCATGTCGCAATTGTCAGGAAGTCAACTTCGAGCAATCGTTTTCTACGAATGGCGCCGCGGTTCCAGTGCTCGTTCCGCTGCCGCAAGTATCAACACTGCATTCGGAGAGATCTTCGCCCTGACGAGGATCTCTCCGAATGCAGTGTTGATACTTGCGGCAGCGTTTTTTTATTCGTTCTTTTATTCGCTCGTTTTCAGTCTGGAGATACGATGCTCGACGACGATCCTCGCTCCGGGCGACCAGTTGTTATCGAAGACGACCGACTTCTCAGCGAAGTGAAGGAGAAGCCGGAGGCTACGAGCAGGGAATTGGCGGAGCTTCTCGAGTGCGATCACAGCAACGTCGTTCGACACCTTCACGGTTACAGGAAAGTTTTCGCTCGATGGATTCCGCACCAACTGACCGACGATCTGCGTCACACGCGTGTCTCAATCGCCCAGTCGCTCCTCCTATCCCCGAATTGGAAGGAGTTTCTGCAAGGATCTGGTAACCAGGGATGAGAGCTGTATCTCTACGACAACAACAAGAGGGACGTTGTGTGGCTCTCAAAAGGAGAATCCATCCGTGTAGCCCAAGCCAGGAGAGCAAGAGAGGTTTTGTTGTGTTACCTCGGAGACTCGAAAGGAATGCTTAACCACGAGTTTCTCCCTGAAGACTAGACAGCCACGGCTACTATTTACTGTCGCCAGCTCCAGGGGCGCGCCCATGCAATAAGAGAAATGCGACCGAGAAGGGTTTCTGTCCATCTTCCGCATGATAGCGCTCAAGTCCTCACGCCGCTCAAAGGAACAATGTCGTCTAGGCTGCAGGGGAACGGCTGGGTACCGTCGCTCACCCTCCCTATTGCCCTGGTTTCCGCCCTTCTGGCTATCATTTTTAGGCACTTCAAGCAGTTCCTGGTTAAGAAGGAGTTCGCTACTTTTGGTGACCTCAAAAATACTGTAGCTGACTTCTTTGACTCACACTGTTCTCTTCCTTCTGGGAGAAGAGAATAGCCGACCTGCTCGTTCGTCGGATGACTGCACATAGAATATATCCTACTATATATAATCGGCTAAGCGGTTGTGCGTGTGTGTGTCTGTGTGTGTGTATGTGTTTGTCTGTCTGACCGGAAATTCATAGCTCGGGCACCAGTGGTCGTCAGGAGTTGGTTTCAAGATATGATATAGGGGGTGGGACGGGAACATATTTGGTGGGGTACAGAAAGTGATAACAACTGATAAGGGCTGATAAAAGGCGCTAGACGCAAGTGTCGCGAAATTCATAGTGCGCTTCGCAGCAGTCGTCAGGAGCTGATTTTGGGGCATGATATAGGGGGTGGGACGGGAACATATTTGGTGGGGGTCACAAAGTGATAACGACTGATAAGCAGTAGAGAGGCGCTGAAACACAAATTTCACGAAATTCATAGTGCGCTTCGCAGCAGTCGTCAGGAGCTGATTTTGGGACATGATATAGGGGGTGGGACGCAAACATATTTGGTGGGGGTCAAAAAGTGATAACGACTGATGAGGACTGATAGTAACGATATGCGTACGAACGTAGAGAGCACTTGAAATAGAAAATAGAGAGCAGATTGTAGATAATGCCTTTCATTTCAATATCATTTCATCAGCGTTGTAATTGTAAACTCAAACACCTTTCGACCGCTACACCTTCTAGAGTTCTTGAGGATGAATGGGATGCTCGAATAAATATGATAATGAATACTGGGCATTCCGTTTTGAGATATTCGACCGCTAAATTACCTCGATACTCGACGCATAGTGGTTGTTTACATCATCACTTTAGCTGTGCACTTCACTGCGCTTATCAAACAGTGAGATACAGCCAAGATGGGCAGCCTATGCAACGGACAGTAATACATTTAACGAAGCAGCTATAATTTAGCTTCATCGATTGTCAGTTCTATCAATGCGCGCGGTAGCGGGCGGAGCTCAACTGGTGATCATATAGTCTATTGTGTAAAATAATTGAATAAACTGCAAATGGTTTCAAATACGCATCCGATTGTTTCAAGACTTGGTGCTAACTTAGTTGGGGGGGGGGGGGGACCACGCGGCGGCGCGGCAGTTTGCTCGCCTGGCATCTTTGCGTACTTCGGGAAATCCGTGAGGCCAGGGGGACTGTAGGCAGTCTAGGGGGGTGGGGGTGGGGGCAGTCACTTGACATGCGTGAAAAGCTGGAATGTTCGAGTTTACACTGTCTCGCTCGAGAGCGCCCAGGTGAGCAGACTGCCGCGCCGCCGCGTGGCCCCCCCAACTAAGTTAGCACCAAGACTTTTGCATCAGCCAATACATATATAATGAAGAGAAAGAGAACGAAATCAGAAAGAGCCTGAGTGACTCTCACAAACTACAAGTCAGCATTGCTTAAAAAAGTATGTTTCGTGGTTGTTTGATATGAACTTTAAATATAGCTCTTCTCTCTGAAAGCCTAGCTCTTTCACGTTGTAAGTTTCAATTTCCATCATAGCACGTCTAGGATCAGACTCGCTAGATCCTAGACGAAATATAGCTCAAAGAGGACAGACATATGAGCCTGTGCTTCAGTGACTCCTAGCAAATGACGAGTGCGTGGCCTATTTCACAGGCATGCGCTTTAACTAACTAATACATTTAAGTGCGAATAAACAGAATGCTCGACAGAAATCCTGATGTTCAAAAAGCATGCCGAAGGGCAGGGAAAGGCGTCGATGTAGTCGAAATATACTCATGATGCCTAATAGAAAACGTTAAGAAGAGAAACATCCTTGAAAAATAAGCCACTACCCGCATGAGGACTCTGTTTGAATTCTACCGTACCAGACTCGTGGTGGGACTGCTCTTACACCATGCTAAGAGTGGTGGGCGAGATTTCAATTGATTCGAACTTCGCGAACTTCTACGGCTTGACATTTTCTCCCGCTGGCTGGTACCGGAAGGCAGAAGATCGCGTGCTAGCTCGTTTCAACAACAACATGTACACCTAGGTACTGCCAATGAACAGGTCAAGAAGAAATGGTTTGTGCAGAATTTCCAAGGAACTGCAATTGGCGAACATCCAAGTAAGGAAGAAGTGGTTAAAAGACCATAGCAGTACGCACAATTATTTGTAGGAGATTGGTTTCGTCTTTCAATATCATCTACAAGTTCACAGTAAGGTCTGTGCTAAGTGGGTTGGGAGGGGGACCACACGGCGATGCGGAACTTCGCTCGCACTGCACTTCGTTCAATCCGTGAGCCAGGGGATTGTCAGGCAGTCTAGAGGGGTGGAGCACTTGACCACGAAACCATATAGTGTTAGAGTTACTCGCTTGAGAGGCACAGGCGAGCAGAGTGCCGCGCGCCGCGTGGTCCCCCCTCTCCACTTAGCACCTGTGGCTCTTCACGAATACTAATTATCCACCCTTTTCATAATTTTCTCTCACAAGGTGTCTGTCCGACTACTCCGCGTTATAGAGTAAGATACAAGCGTTGAATGATTCTGGGGATGAATCTCTTGCACTTGTCATTCCTGTGTCAATCTTACGACTGATAGTATAGCAAAACAGCCACCAAACAGCAGGCAATATTATATCTTCAAAGGGAACCAAGGAGATCATGCTGAGTACTTTTAATTGCCAGATACACTAGGCTGCAAGTCCTGGGTGGAATGAGGTCGATTAATGTGAGCTCTCACTAATGCTGGACTCCTGATTGCTGCTAATTTGAACCCGCTTAGGAGTAATCGTGGTCATCTTACAATCCGTTTTTTACTCCTTCCTTACTTCAGTGACGCAACTGGCACGTGCTTTCAAGCTCTGTGCCATATCAATATAGCATCCTTATTGGCAATCCATTGTCCGTAGACCATTGTGACGCCAGAGTACCTTGCGGAGAACATCGGCAATTCGGCAACATTGGTTTGAGCGTGCACGCATCACATTCTTTTGAAGGGCGAGGGTGCTGGAGTGGTGCTATCGCGAACCAGGGTACGATAGATAGTCCTCATACGGGTAATGACTTACCCTTAAAACACTGAGTTTCTGCCCAGGATGGTGCCCAGGAGTGGTGGATGTCTTGGGAACTGCCGCTTTTAGTGTTATATTGTGGCGTATATCGTCCACGGCGTTGGTTACTATCATGTCAAAATGTTTGCGTTAACCGCGCCTTAGAGGATTACGCGGGGCTTAGATAAAATGATGCGGTTGTCCGAGCTGTGAGTTAAACAAAGTGTAATGGCTTCGTAAACGATGTCG